CTTGGTCCCTGCCAGCCAGCTGATCAACTGATCGGCGATGCCACTTCTGAGGATTGCAGAGGATCAGTGATCTGCATCAAGGCACTGGGAGAAAGGAAAAGCCTCTTTCCACTCCCCTTCTTCTGAGCAAAACAGCTCAGGATTGCTGGAAGGAAGGGAGAGGGGGGATATGTTTAAAAGGGGGTATCTATATAAGCAATCCCTGTCCCCACAATTTCTGTGGTTCTTAGCAGCCAAAGGGATGCCCAGCTAAGCACAAATAGCATGTTTATTTCTCCCCCCCCCCAAAAAAAGATTTTGTGTTAATTTTGACAGAACACGTGACACAGAGAAGTTGCCACTTGCACTTCAGGATATGACTTCACACTCCTCCTTCACTGTGGTCTTGAGGGCTTCAGGAAGGAAGTTTACAAGCCTGTTCTAGATCTGACTCCGCCTATTTCAGTACAAAGGCAAACAGTGCAGAAACTAGGACATGGGAGAGCACCTAAGAACCCAGAGTTATGTCTCCTTGGTGAAATAAAAACAGGACAGCCATCTTCAAATCAAACTCAATTCCTGGGCAGTTTTGAAAAGCAGTTTGCCATTGCCGCCTTCTGGGGTGTTTCTTGACTTCCCAGTTTAGCTACAGCCCTGGGAACCCCGGATTCAAGTCCTAAGCAGAGGATGCTGCTCAGCTTTCAAACCCAGAGGAGTTTGGCACCTGTAGGCTGCTACCTGCTGAGGTTAGAAGGGAAGGTTCACAGCAGATTAATTGTAACACGCCAACAGCGAAGCAGCATCCTTTATCGGTTCTCAAACAAGAGATAAGAGTTTTATATATTCAATCAAGACGGATCAAAAGCTCACAAGGTGAAGCAGATTCACAACACTATGACTAAAACTCTATTTCAGCAACTGAAATCTATGTACACTTTAAAGCTGCAGACTTCACATGTACTGCAGAAATGCCCTTCCCTGCCTCATAGTGATAGTTGTAGTCATTTATAGGCAGAAGTGCTTCAGGTCCTGTGTGAGCATTACACCAATCTGCTGCTCATTAGAGCAGCCTGAACTTTTGCAGACTTCCTGCAAGCTTCAAAATAAAGGGGGGGGGGCTGCTTCTGTAAGAAGTGCAAGTTTGTGGAAGCCTGAAAAAGTTGAGCCGCATTAAGGAACACAGATCTGTGCTCTGCTTGCATGCGAAGTCTTCCAGGTCATTTTCAAAGCACATACAGGTGCAATTGTGTGGAAGCCTCTTAACGTTTCTGTGTTTATCTTAGCATGAACAGAAACTGCAGTTTTAAAAAATGCAAGACACTTCATCTAAGTACGGAGAAAAGCCCTATTTCTGCCCTATAGTATCCCAATCTCCTTTAGCTGCAGGAATAACCAAGCGGAGGGAAGGAGATCTAGAAATCAAATTCCCCGGGATCCAGCTACCAGAAGCTCACCCCCAAGTCTTCCCGCAGGCTCCGGTACTGATCCAGCGCTGAAAAGCCCTTTCGCTGCGCCAGTTCCACGTGGGGCTCCCCGGGGTAGGAAGCGACAAAGCCGCGCAGCAGCCCGCCCTCGAAATCGCTCAAGACTCCATCCATGTCCACCAGCACCCGAAGCGGGGCAGCAGCGCCGCCCGCCATGTCTTTCAAGCGGCAGAGAGAGGGGGGCTGTCGCGCCGCCCCCAAGTCCTCAACGTAGGCCAGCGAGGGGGTGGAGGAGGAGTCGAGGCTTTTCTTGGCCGAAAGGAGCCGGCGGTACGGAAAGGCAAAGGAGCTTTTCAAGTGCGGGGTCACAAACCAGGACTAGCAAGGCGGGAAGAAGCGGCCGGGAACCTCGTGGGGAGGAGCTGAAGCCGGGCCCCTTCAATCGATGGCAGAGGAGAACTGGCCTCGCTCCGCTTGCCGTGTCTTCGGGACAGCAGTCCCGTTCTGAGATTCATTCACTTAAGATCACAGGCTTCCTCGAGACGACTTTATATATAAGCACCTGGATTAGGAAGCCTTGTTAGTTTCAAGCGAGCGCAAGGTTACTTTGTATAAACAGTAGCACCAAAAGGTAAAGATTTTCCAGTTTTACCCCTAAATATGTGTTTTAATATTTTTTTTCCTTAACGAAAAATTCATCGGGTATCAACCGGTAAACAATTCGGCTTAAAGCAGATGCTAAACATTTGTGATACTGCAGTTTGATGCTGCTAAGGTCTGGGTTTGATCCTTGAAGTCAAACGGATTTTCCTGATTTCGTACGATTTTTATATGGGGTCCATCTGAAACCAGAGTTATCTGGGTTAGCAGAAAAAGTGAACCAAAAGCCACAGGGGTTAAGTTCACAGAGCCACAAATTACTTAACCACATGTGTGAGAATCAGCTATGGAAAGAATCTCTCTACAGAATAGTGTGCATTATTTTGCCCTAATCCTTATACAACTCCTTCATCGTTGGTCTGTATCAGTGTTTTTCAAACTTGGCAACTTTAAGATGTGGGGACTTCAACTCCCAGAATTCCCCCTGCTGGCTTCACACACATCTTAAAGTTGCCAAGTTTGAAGAACACTGGCCTGTATTATACAATTTCATCATATCCAAAGTACAGCCACCGCATAATCCGGATATTCAGAGTTAGCACTTTCTATGACAGATTCTTGTGAACCAATATTTGCAATGGACCACAGGATGATTAAGTTAAAGTATAACTTCCAGACAAAACAAAACTAGTGTTGTTGTTTAGTCGTTAAGTCGTGTCCGACTCTTCGTGACCCCATGAACCATATTG